AGAGTCTATCGTTCAAGCCTGTTGTCGCTGGGCAGCCCCGTCGACCGTCGATGCCTGGTGCGCATGGCGCGCCGTGGAGGCGCCACTGGCGGCCGCGCGCGGCACGGTCCTGGCCTCGCGCAGCGGTCGCTGCTCTGGATACGGCCTCGGTGCTTGCAGCGCCAGCGATGAGGGCGACGGAGCCCACGGCGGCCTTGCGTGAAGCAGGGCGGCGGCGTCGTGAGCGCGGTCGCAGCTCACGTGCAGGTGGCGAGGCGGCGCAGATGAGCCGCGGGCGGGGGCGTGAACGCGGAGGGGAAGGTTCCGTGACCGGGGGCGGCGGTTGGTGCAGCAGCGGGCTCGGCGGCGCCAACATCGCCGTGGCTGGATGACGAGAGGGCGGACCAGCTGGGGTGGTGCTCCCGCGCGTCGGCAAGGACCTGGGCAAGGGTAAGGACAGGCACACCAGCAAGGGCAAGGGCAAGGGCAAGGGCAAGGGCAAGGGCAAGGGCAAGGGCAAGGGCAAGGGCAAGGGCAAGGGCAAGGGCAAGGGCAAGGGCAAGGGCAAGGGCAAGGGCCAGGACGGGGGCAAGGACAAGGACAAGGGCGAGGACAAGGGCAAGGGCAAGGGGCAAGGGCAAGGGCGAGGACAAGGGCAAGGCCAGACGGGGGCAAGGGCAAGGGCAAGGGCAAGGGCCAGGACGGGGGCAAGGGCGAGGGCAAGGGCAAGGACAAGGGCACGCCCGAGCACGGCAACGGCTTCGATGCCGCTGTGCTCCCCGGCCTCCCCGCGAAGGCCGTGGCGAGCCCGTGCCGTTCGGCGCGTGGGCGCTGCTGTGCCGAGCCGTCTCCAGGCAGCTGCCGGCTCGGCGGAGCGACGGCCCGTGCGCAGGCCCGCCCCGGAGGCCGCAGCGGGCTGCCAGAGCGCACGCCGGGAGCGGAGCTCCCAGGCTGGACCCTCTCTCGCCACGGGGCTGGCACGGGCCCCGAGGACACGGGCCCCGAGGTTTTTCGCAGTTTTTTCTGGGTCGCGGGGCCCTCCACGGGCCCCTGGGCCGTCAGGAAGACGGCTCGGGGCGAGAAGCCCGTCCTGGGAGAGCCAGGGTCCAGGGCCCGCTTCCCTGACGACCCGCTTCCCCCGTGCTTAACGCTGCCGGCACTCCACGGCCAGAATCTGTCCCCATCCACCGCTTCGGAGTCGTGCCCTGGGATCTCGAGGAGAGGTGGATATGGATATCTGTCCGCCCGCGTGAGCGGGCAGATATCCATATCCGCCGCTCCCCGAGTCCTCGCAACACGACCCAGCAGCAGTGGATATGGTCATATCCTGGCGGCGCGAATACATCTCCACTGACCATCGTCGTTGTCGTCGTCGTCGTCGTCGTCGTCGTTGTTGTCCTCCTCGTCGTCATCGTCGTCCTCGATCTGCAGGCGTGTCCTGTTCGCGAAGCGGCAGACATCGACGCCGAGGGATTCGATAGTGACGCCCTGGCTCCACGCACAGTCACGGGTTTACTGGAGTCAGAATGGGGGAGGGGGAGGGAGGATGCCGTGCGCGGACGATTGAGAAAAGGGGGGGGAGGAAGTCGCCGCCGTGCCGATGCGCACGGGCGGTGGCCGCCTGCCGCGCAGGTGGCCTTCTGTGCAACGTGCCTTGACCTGCTGGGAGTCGAGTGTCCGCATCGAGGGCAAGGGCCGAGAAAGCCACGGTGGAGGCCAACCTGGCCCTGCAGGGATCGGCGGAGCAGGTTCGAAGCAACATACCTAGGCCTTCGGGACTGGCCTGGCCGTCTCGCAACCGAGAAGTCAGGACGAAGCCAAGGAAGGACAGGCCTCGTGTACATAGGGTGGGGTACGACGGGGTCGGAGGTGGGGGGCTGGCTAGCGCTCGGCTGCCACTTGCGCCCCCGCGCGCTTCCCATCTCCTCCAATTGACGACAGGGCGGGGCGGGGAGCCAGCAGGAGAGGAACGCAGAGCGAAGACGCAGGATATGTGGTGAGAGCGGTCTGCCTGAGCTTCTGCGCTCCACGGATTGTCGCGCGCGGGAGCAGGCAGGTAGTGCCATCCAGCTAGCGGACCGTGGCGGACGTCTCCGTCCAGCTGCTCCACAACGCAATCGTGGTACGCCTTGCCAGGCCTCCCCTGTATTGCGTCGAAGATCGCTATCGGTTTCTTGACGCACCCGGGCTTCCAGCTGCGGCTAGGTTGAGCTACCTCTGGTAGGTGTGGAGCTCCAGGTTGCCCTGTGCCCTAACGCTGCCGGGTTCCAGGTTTTTTCTGTCTCCTCAGAATTCTTGGTCAGCGTCGCCTTCTGCACCGCAATATCACTGTAATATCACTGTAGTTCTTAGTCTGCTCAGCGATGTCGAGCATGTCGGCAAAATATCCGGTCTCCTGCGCTCAGTCTTCGGAGTTAGAAGCTGAAGTGGACTGCTCGAGTATCTCGTCCGATGAGTGTCCGGCGCCGTTGATCTCAACGATGATGTCTTTGGGTTAGGTTCCACCAGCTCGATGGTGTGA